CAAATTTATATATCCAATTTCGTGGCGAGAGTTTTTGTTTAAAAAAAAAGTTAATTTAGGCAAATCAAAATTTGGAATGGCTTCATAATAATAGAGATATTGAGTAGCCTTGCCCTAATAGTGATACATATTTTGGGGCTGCGAAGCCATAGAGCTCATTTAATGCTTAATATTCAGTCACATTGCTAACAAATGATAAAACCTACTCCTTGGAAATTAATGATAAACAAGTTTATTAAATTTGTTCTGCCCCCGTCATATTCATTGGAACCCAGTTTGATTTAGTTCACTCGGACTTTTCAGCCCAACCAAGGATAGAAGAAGTGTGGTTCATGAATATGATAGTACAAATGGCATGATAATGTTTTTTTTTCTTTTTTAATCGGCTCGATTAATTTTTTCTAATACAAATTATAACACGATGATCTCATCAATTTTGTCTTCATTCCCTTTTCTCAAGGGCTCTTACCCCTATCTAATTGAAATCAAGTCTCCCTTAAATAATCAGAAAAGTCAAATACACCTAAATTCTTTATTAAACTTCTATGAGCTTAGCTTAACCAATCCCTCAGTTACGTTATCATGTTGTTGGTTTTTTTTAATACAAGTAGTATTCTACTTTAATTTAATCTAAACTACGAAGAGAGAGATTCAAACTCGGGTGCAGATAGAGTGATGCAAAGTGCGATATTATACCTCAGTTTTTAGAGAAATTTTTATATTGAATATTATGTTGATAATTCTTAAAACCATTAAAAAGGAATTAAAGGGAAGTTGGTTTGGGGTGCCATAGAGGAATATTTGTTTAATTCAAATAAGCATAAGTTAGCATTTAGTACATTTTGAAGGGCATGACAAAAGACAAAGCCAAAAACAATATCTCTCACATTTGGATGATTGGATCGATAACTTACATTTAATGGCATTTGGGATGGTTCCAAATTTAAAACAGTTGTCGTGGCCCAAGGCTTTTAGCCTCAGAATTTGACCAAGTCAGTTTATATTACTATTGCTGCCGTCTCCGTCTTCCCCCTCTCACAAATTGAAGAAGAAGAGAAGAGGGATGATTGTTAGTTACATCAAAAATATATCAAAAACCCTAAATATATATATATATATACACACACACAACAAGTCTTCTTCTAGAGCCCCATGGGTGCCGTGAAGCAATGTATATGTTGGAGATTTTAATTATTATTAATTACCCTACTTGATTAAATCATTAAACTATTAATATAATTATTTATTTTAGTATTTCCTTCACCCACTCTCATACATATCTCACAGCTCACATTCAAGGAAGGGAAACTTCCTCTTTTCACATTTGAATATCTTTATTTTCCTGGGAGCCAAACATATGCTTTCTAAGCACGACATGAAATGAAATATTTAATATTAATATAGTATTTATATGTGTTGATATTTGTGACTACGATGTGATTTGAATTGGAGGCATATCTTGCGAGTAGATGTCGCATTAAAGCTTTTATGATCACAACCAACGGAATTGCAACCCACATGTTCTTCTGATCCGTGTAACACTCTGGGTCTGGGGTCAGATCAAAATTTGTCTAATTAGGGTGGGGTATGAGGTGGATTCACCTTCTTTTAATTTGGTCCCCATGCAATTAAAAACAGTCTCGTTTTCTTGATTACGTTATTGATCACATTTCTCGTATATATTCCTGTTTGAATTTAAATACTTATGCAAGCGAATCTTAAATACATTACACTTTTGAGATCGATAAATATAGTTTGAAATGTGATTAGTAAATATGTCAATTGCAACCATTCCACAAATGATTCATGGTATGGAATGGATAGATGAACAATACTCCCCTTATAAATAGTTTTATTGTGAGATGTGACATGAATTTGCTTAAAGATATGCGAATTAACCTTGTTGCACCGAAATATATAAGAATAGTTATATTCTTCTAGTGGGACAAAAATATTGGAGCTACTTCCTCAAACCACGGAAGGGACCCTAATCTAAATGGTTGACTTTAGCTTTGTTTCTGACTTTAGGTTTTCTGGGGGTGTGATATACGTTGCTTTTTCGGACCAACCACATGTAGTTAGAATATGTCTCTTCAACTATTCACCGATCCCACTTAACCCACATTAATTTAATTCTTACCGTATGATCATGAACTGTGTGTTCATGAGAATTGAGAAATATAATGATCCTATATTTGACCGAATGGCCTTCCGTGGACGGAAAGAAACTTGCATGTAACGAGTATATAGGTGATATGAGGAGAAGAGAGATACGGAGAGAAGGAATATGCGCCGGGTGCAAGTTTCTCTCCCTTTCAAGCGGGTAAGCATCAGTGTGAATGTGATAAAACTAATTAAACTAATAATTGATGGTAAGTAAGAAGCTGCAGGCTGCAGGCTGCAGGCCTTGCTTGTGTAATTATCAATGGGGGTGCAATTTAAAAGTACAAAGCTTCGGCAATTACAACAACTGCGTACCGTACTTTGCTTATTAAAGTTATATATATTTATAGAAGAAGCTTCTATTGATGGATACCATGCACATTGCCAATGTGCTAATATGGAACTGTTTCTAGTGAAAAAGTTGGATCAGAGTACAAAAATCTATTGAAAATTCATAGCCTTTGCAGGTAAAAAGGTGAGACTTTAAATTGACAGAAAAATAAACACCAACAAAATCTATAATGTTATTATTTACAAGAAATAATGATTAATAAGCAAATAAGACATCACGATCTAAAAAATCTATGTATTGCCATGGTTGCACAATTGTGTCAAGAAAAGAAAAGCTCTGAGCATGAGAACCAAAAAGACTTATCAAATGTCAAGCGGAATTATCACAGTGGTTGTGGCCCTTCCTGTTTCCCCTGCTTGACAGCCAAGATTTCTTTTCTCCCAATATATATAATTTTTTTTAAAAATACTTTATCAAATATAAATGAAGATTAGGTAGCTACAAGACCAAAGGCTCACCAGAAATACATTTGCACTACTAAAGTTATACCCTTTCAGAATTCTAAGTTGCCCCCAGAGCCTATGGTAAATATATAAGACACTTTGCTAGTATTACTTTGAGTGCCCCAAAGGCCAAAACGACATATCTTAACACACAATCAAAACCTCAGGTGGCTAGACAAGAAATACAAGTCTTCAACAAATATCTTTTATTTTTATTTTTATAGATGCTGGGGTATCTATATATATAAAATAAAAGGCAGAGAATGGTGAAACATTCAAAATACCAGAAAATGCCCTTAGTTAATGCAAACATTAAGAATTAAAATTATTAATTAAATGAGGATAATATGGTAAATTTACACTTTTTCATATTAAAAAAAACTTAAAATTAAAAGAAATATCAGATAATGGATCCTCTTTTTATGGAACACAACTACCCATTATCTTTTTTAATTCTAAAATAATTTTAAATTTTTTTTTAAAAAAAGCCTCTCGCAGGTGCGGAAGCGCGTGCAGAGAGGCTAGTATAGATAATTGGACAATTTCTAGGGTTACATGAGACGGAATTGAACATGACCATACTCATTACTAATAAGTAAATATGTGATAAATTATTTTATGGGTGGGCCGATATTACTCATTTGCAGTTTGCCAACAAGTTCGTACCTTAAATCTTGGTAGCACCAACCTATAAAATATCATATGGACCAAAACTTAAATTCAGAAAGCACCTATACATAATACATTCACTATATGGACCCAACTCCAAAGATAAGCCCTGCCTGGACCATGGTATAACACCTCCGTCTCCTCCATGTCCCATTCCAAGCATTTATTTTGCATACCTATTTTTCTGCAACCTAGCCAGTTCAGTTGCTTGGCCAACCCTAATTATATGTAACCACTTTCAACACCACCTTCAATGGAACATTCTCCACCCGCAACAACCACCGCCTACCACCTCTCTAGTCTTCAAAATTTAGGCCAGCAAGCCTTTCCTTCGGCCTTCTTTCCGAAAAAAGGCCCAAGCTTATAAGTTAGTCCTAAATTTTAAATAGGCCCAATCAGATTCTTCTGTTCTTTACTATTTCAAAGTCAAATCTTTTTGGGAATCAATGTGCCAAAAGCAAACCATGATTTAACAGAGGTTACAGAAAATTTCCAGATCAATAAAAGCAGTTCCAGCAGAGAAGCCAGGGGGCGGGCTGGGGGGGTTTTGAGCCCAAATCGCGTTTCCAGCAGCGCAGGTTGGCCCGGGCAGGAGGTGGACCCCAGTAGACTGGGCTAACCTAAGGGGGAGGCGAGCCCGTGCGTGAGCCCGAGTTTTGGGTTGATGTCATGCTGACGCCAGGCTGGCGTCATCCCTTCTATTTGAATTTTTTTTACCGTTGGCGTGTGTACATTAAAAAAAAATTGCACGCACATGCTACAGTGGCCGCCAACGGCTAGCAGCCACGTGGCATCCTCTGGGCTCTCCGATCGGATTTTTTCTTCCAATCCAACGGCATCCAATTTTTGTGCAATAAAAAAAAAATTGAAATTTTTTTATAAAAAAAACCTAGAAATTAATGAATTTTTTTTCTTCTATAAATACCAACCAATGCTCTTCACTTTTAACAAATTTGTGAAAAAACAAAAAAATGAATAGTATCTGCCCTTTGCCATGGCAACTGCTGGAAACACGCATTGCTTTTTGCAAGAGCAGCCACTATTTACGTGAATAGTAGCTGCCTTAGCCCCCCTTGCCATGGTAAGGGACTAACTGCTGGAAGTGCTCTAATGTGCCCAGATTGGAATAAAAAAATAAAAAAATAAAAAAAAGTGCAGTTCTACAGTACTTTATTTGTTCAGTCCCATTTTGTTTCTGAGTATACTATTTGCATTTAGTTGTTTTTTTCAAATGGAATATTCAAACTTGGAATCTCTTCCACTATTGAGAAGATAAATACTCATTGATCAACAGTTAGTTGATCATTTAGTTGGGTTGTGACTGCCGCATATCAGGAGACACTCACAAAGAAAAGAAAAAATGGGAGAAGAAATTCCAAATTGGTATAAAATAAAAAAGAAGTCTGATCTCATTTTCACATACCACATTTGAATGCCCTTTTTTCTTCCTTTTCTTTTTGGGTCAGCCTTTCCTTTTTCAATTCAAAGTGGAAGTCAGTGACAGAAATACATTACATTATATTACATACTGATATACGCATCAATCAATCAATAATCTTAATTAAATTGATCAGCAGCACTAATTAAGAGTTATCAACTTGAGGAACCACAAAGCATTATTCATATGCATCTCTTTTCAACGACCATTAATCTCGGTTGCCCTAGTAATTGCTTGCGTGATATCTCTCACATCCAACTGGTCTTGGTTTTGGTTTTCAGCTACAGCGATGGCCTCCATGGAAAAATAATTGTTGCTTGAAATTCTAGCTTGCAGAACAGTAAGACCCATTTCTTCAAAAGCTTCCAAAACTGAAACCAGAGTGTCTCCTACATTCTCGCACTTCACTCTTACAAGGAACCCTTCGTCAATCTTCTCTACCTTCACTTCCTGTCAATCCATGCATATACATTAAATTATATACTGAAAAAAAAAAGGGATAGAATGGCTAAATATATAAATAAAAAGAAGAAAATGGTTGAGAGGGAGACCTTGGGGACCTGAGAATGTTTGATTAGGTTTAAGTATTCTGTTTTAAGAGCCATGAGATGCAGGTACTCTCTTTGGACTGCTTCAAGCTTGAGTTTCAACATGTAAATCTGGAGCAAAGCCTCCATGAAAATGGAGCTCCTCTTGACCTTAAATCATACAACCGCCAATTTAAAAAGGTTAGGCAAGCCAGTAGAAGAAAACAAAGCATATAAATGCTATAAGAAACTAAAAAGCAGGTTTTTTTTTTTTTTTTCTTTGGGTTGGTAATATTACAGATTTCATCTTGGTAAGGCTGCTTAGATTTTGAAGCTTTCGGCGCAGTGGTGCTCTCTTCTGCAGCCCGGAAACCATACCTCTATCTCTCACACTTTAGGTTTTAACTCTTACACGAACAGTAGATAGATTTGAAGCTTGTTTGCACGGGGCTCTATATATAGTGTAGGGAAGGGTGTGTGCATATTGTATGGGTTGCCCTGGCTTTTATAGCTTGCGAAGAGCAAGGAGAGCTTTAGTTGATTAGTGGGTATATGTCTTGGAGTTTTGAATTTCCAAAGCTTTTCTTCTCTTGTCTTGTGTGATTTGGCAGAAGTACTGCAAATTTTATAGTTACCTAAAGTTTAAAAAATAAAAAATTAGATATAAATCCAAAAACATTAGGGTTTATTAAGAATAACCCACGTTCAAAATAAAGAAAAAGAGAAATGATGTAATAAATATAAGGAAAATACGTCCCTCCTTACTATGTAAGTAAGAGTTCCCACATTCTTGCCAGAAGCAATGTGACATGTGTGCATAAGTTTTTCTTTTTATGTTTTTGATGAATTATTTTTACATATATGTCAAATTCTGATTCACAGGAATCTCCTTACATGGAAGGAGTCAAGCAATATCCCAAATACAAAATCAATAGAACGAGTTCTAGTTTTGCATGTGACTTCGTAGTTGGCCACCCACTCACATCTATCATGTCAGAGTACATATTAGACAAGACCGTTAGAGAATCTCATTTTCACTTAGCTTTCTATAATTTTGATTCTATTTATCGACATGATTGAACGTTTTAAAGTGTAAAATTATTATTTAGAGCTTCAGAGTTGGATTGGAATTACATGAGGAGGTACAAACATTCAGTAATGTTGGATTGGAATATGGAAGTATTGTAAAGCTATATGGGAGGATAGGGTGTCTAGTACTTGACACTTAAAAATGAATGAACGGTGTGGGAAGGAATGAAAGGAAAAGCCAAAGAGTCCAAAACATGAAGATTAAGACAAAAATTCTTCACTGTTGGGATTGAAAGAGTTAGGAGGTGCGCAGAAGGCAGGTGGGGGCTTAAGCAAAAGCCAATCCAAATAAACTGAGACCAAAAAGAGAACGGTATATATGTACAGTACAGTACTTGTCCCATTCACCTACTTCTCCTAAGAGCACTTCCATCCATTTGCCATGGCAAAGGATAAGGGCTGTTACTATTCACATGAATAGTGACAGCCTTTGCAAAAGCCAAAATGTGTTTCCATTCATTGCCATGGCAAAGAATATGTTTAGGTATAATTTTTTTTCAATTTTTTTATTATTTTAATTAGCTGCTGACGTTATTATGACGTCAACATTATGTTTGCTGCCTGGGATGGATTTGTCTGTGGGCTTGCCCGGGTTGGTGGGCCCCACGTCTTGCCCGATGCCCTTGCGCACTGGAGCCGTCACGCGGGCCTAGGCCCTCTCCTGGCCAGGCTTCCCCCCTTTGCCGCTGAAAGTGCTCTAATGAAATTTGCGTTTTGAGAGAGAGAGAGAAGGGAAGAGAGGGTGGGTTTTAATTTTATCTGTCAGAACAAATAGATACACATCATGAGGGCACTCAGTGAGGCAGTCAACAACGAAAGAGGGGGAGGTTGGAGACATAAGACATGCATTAACAACAGTACTATAGCTAGACTTGTTCACGGGCCTCTCGTTTGGTTTCGTTTTGTCTCCCCTGCATATACTAGCTGCTCATCCATATATAATTATTGAGCAGTGCTGCTGGCAGCTGCAGCTGGTTGGCTATTGCTTTGCCACTGGCCCTAAGTCACATGCTCTGACACCTTCTAATTCTGTTTTATTCTTTATCGTTCTTTCTCCTTTAGCAGGGGTCACCAAATTCCCTTTATGATTCAATTTAACTCTACTTCCCATTCATTTTAAATATGTTGTTAAGGTTTGAGAGGGATAGAATCACGACCCACTACTATAAATATCGATATTGTTATTTATATAGTCCGACATGTGTGAGAATTTATACAAAATGTACTGATGCTATTAGTAATTGAACCAGGCACTGATATATCTCATTCTTTTGTGCATGCACTGCATGCTAGTAAATTCCAAGCATATACTGTGAAAAGACATGTCCATCGACCTCTCTCAACATATTAAATTTCTCATTCTTCATATGAACTAATGTAATGAACTAATGTAGAGTGCATGTGCACAACACAACACTCTAGGCAAAGCAAAGCTTCACCAAACGAAAAGGCAAAGAGACACTTGGGATTTACCATGCCATGCATGCAGCTGCAAATAATGTATAACTACTCTTAATATATACATTCCTAGTGACTGATATATTTTCTATAATTTGTTTGTTGTATGAGTTAGCGACCTCTGCTCTGCTCTGCTCTGCTCTTTAGGTCCTTATCTCTGTCTGTCTGGCTGTCTCCTTATTTTTGTGATATTTGTTTGTCCATGTGTTGAGCTTTGAGCTCGGCTTCCCATATCCCACATCTATATTTACTTTGTCCCTTTCTTCTTGACATATCTCTCTCAACTCGCAACTGGTATACGGGAGAGGGAGGCTCAATGGCTCATGCATTATTATCTTTTCATTTTCTAAGCTTTCTTGTGAAGCATTTTGCTTTTTACCTGTTCGTCCATGGAATCCAGACTCACATGATGACCAAAAGCGCATCCAATTTCTGCAAAAGTTGGTAGCCTAGGTCTTTTCTTTTACACTTTTATATATACGAGACTCTATTAGATTTGTTTATTGATATTCATGTCTCAAAACATGGTCTTATTTGGTGTTTGTTTCTTCAAAACGGATTATAATAAATTCTATGTCACGTGAATTTAAGATGTTGATTAATTTGTGGGAAGTATCAGGTCGGTTGCATTGTACACTGAAAAGCTGCCTAGTATGAACAATAGAGCACTGCTTAGTGTTCAAAAATTTCATTATTGACTGAAATTCTACAGACATATAAGTGAAAGTTCGAGTTCTGACTCCATCCCATATCTTAACTGTTGGATCAAAATTAACCAATTTGATCCAACTGTTAAGAGATAAGACATCATCTAAGAGCGCTAGCCTATACAGAGCCTCCATTAAACAATTTATTCATATTTGGGCTTTAGGGGGAGTTGAGAGCTTGAGTTTTTTACGTGGGCCAAATTTATTAAAAGTCCATTGGACTTGTGGCAATTGGGTGATTAAAAGTGCAGAGCTCAATCAAAGGCCCACTCAGAAAGAACATTTGCTTGGGTCCAACAAGCCGAAGATTGGATTAATGGCATTAATCAGGTTATTGAGTTATTTTATTTGCATCTAATAAGTACTATTCAGCAACAACGAAAAAGCATATGTTGAAATAATGGGATGCAAAAAGAACAAACAATTGTCAATGACAGTGTCAAACTTCCACATATAATATGATATCATTTTCTACTTTTGCAGATCCTCCCTCTACTTAATTTCTTCCCTCAGAAAAGAAGCTCAGCTAACAGAGATTGGGTTTCGAATAGAATATTATGAGAGTTAATAAAAAACCAATTAAGAATATATCGACACTGAGAACACAAACATATATGCTCCTTTAGCTTTCATCTTACTTCTGAAAGGCATTGTCTTGTCTTAAAGGATATACTTGAGTTCTGGGGCATATCCTGCTGCAGCTTTCTAAAATCATGACATGTTTCTGCCAAAACCACATAACCCTAAAAACTCATACATGTTGAGGAGTCTAAACTTCCTAGCTAATAGATTTTTCCTGAAATTTAGATGCAACTGTCAAAATAAAGGTTTTAGGGTAATCGTCTGAATTCCCAAGAGTGTGATCTTGGTGATCATAATATAATTTTACGGAAAATAAAAATAAAAGAATCGGTTTGTTGCTGCAAATATGTGTGTGTATCCATCCATCACATGGGTTTAATTCATGAATACAGCCTCGAGTTTTTTCTCGAACAAAATCAACTTTTGTTAGGTCCATTTGTTAGGTCCATTTGGCTGGTCCTGAAAGCAATGAAGGTGACATTACCAAGTAGAAGAAAAAGATAGATTGAGAACATGCTCTGAATCTTCCTTCTTATATATTTAGAATGTTTTCCATATTTTATTTTCAAGATTTTCAAGAAATGACTGGCTTATATTGTTTCACGTCCTAGCAAGCTAGTAAAACTGCATGTTTGTTAAACCACAGTGACTCATTAGTTGATGTAATTAAGCAAGAACCCGAGTCAACAACGAATTAGAGAATTAATTTCTCATTTAGGGTACTGATTAGCACTGAGAAGTTGATTAATTACAGTTACATTTTTTTAAAATCATCTTCATTAAGAAGTCTGTACAGCTAAAGTTTTTGTACCATGAAAAAGTGGGACGGGATTTATGGATAAAGTTGTACTTTTCAACAAACAAACGAAAGCATTGTTCCTTAAGATCCTTAGGATATGCTTCCTCTGGGTTAGCATAAATAAGGGTCTCTCCTGTGCATCTCTCTGCAACTTTCAACTTTGGTTGTGCAGTTAGATCAATTACAGGGCAAAGTCTCCTCTGGCATGTGGCCACTTATAATTATAAATGCTTCCGGCTGAGCCTCAGTGAGCAAAGCCTTGCCTTATTCTTGTAGTGTGCTTTATGCCAAAGGAGATTTGCTCGGCAATTCTTCTGCACTGGTCTTTTGCTTGCTTAGGGAACAAGGCGGTGCCAGTGCAATCACAATTGGTCAATTTTAGTTAGTGTTTTTTTCTTCTTCTTTTAAATCCACTATTCTGTCAGATTTCATTTTTCCATTGGAGTTGGCAGTTGGTTAGTGTAAATGACGTCTACAGTAGTCTTAATTTTGGCTTTGTTACCACTTGCATGATCCAATCCAAGCATGGCTAATGCGGGCATAATGCATAGCTCTGTGCCCTCATATTAGTTCTACCATGTATTATGCATGATTTTCTTTCTCAAGTTTTCAAGATTCTCCAACAGATTTAAGCCACATTTCCAACAAACTTTTTTTATTTTATTAGCACATCTTGAATAGTATAGTGGAAGCCTTAACTCATAATTAATCGAGATATTTTCTGGAAACTATATATATGATCAAAAGTTAGTGCCTTTTGATATGCAACTTAATCTCAGATAATTTTACTTGATGCCCATCAAAATCTAGTTGGTTATTCAGTACTTTTCAGTGATGATCTGTGTTTCTGGAGCGCTACAACCTCAAGCAGTGGCGGAGCCATTCCTAGGCCTGGAGTGGCCCTGCCCCC